AAGATAGGCTAAAACATGTATTTAGTCCCTTACCTTAATAAATTTGAAAGTTTTAGCTCTTTATCTTATGCTATAAAGTTTTTAGTCCCTAAATTAAAAATACGAAGATTTTAACCTCTAAATTAACGAAAATCCATTAGTTCTCCATTAAAGTGAGAGTAGAATATTTACAAGATCAATTCCCCTCTCTTACATAATCTGTTTGGATCGCGGGATTTAGAAGATAGGCTAAAACATGTATTTAGTCCCTTACTTTAATAAATTTGAAAGTTTTAGCTCTTTATCTTATACTATAAAGTTTTTAGTCCCTAAATTAAAAGTATGAAGATTTTAATCTCTAAATTAACGAAAATCCATTAGTTCTCCATTAAAGTGAGAGTAGAATATTTACAAGATCAATTCTTAAAAATTAAAAATATAATAATTTAATTTTAAAAGTTTAAAAATTAAAAAATTAATAGATTAAAATAATCAGTGAATGTCTTTACTATACACACAAGAACAGTATTAGATATCTATAATTAAATTGAGCGATTAACTTAATTTAAAGAAAGAAATCTGATTGAGATTAAAAAAAAATTTCTTAACTATATTTTTCTATCCTCTCGAGCTTTTTGTCTTACCTTAATAAAGAATTCTTTTTTAATCTCAATCAAAACTTTTTCTTCAAATTGAACTAATCCTTCAATTTATTATAGATATCTAATATTGTTCTAGTAGATGTGAGAAAATCATTCATTAATTCTTTTTGTTTACTAGTTTTTTTAATTTTTAAACTTTTAAACTTTTAGAACTAAATTATTATATTTTTAATCTTTGAATACTAATCTTATAAATATTTTATTCTCATTTTAACATAGAGTTAACTTATTCATTAGTTTAGAAGCTAAAGTTTTCAAATTTTAAGTTTAAAGGTTAAAAATTTTATAATATAAGATGAATGGATTAGAATTTCCATATTTAATAAAGTAAGAGGAGTGTGAAAGGGAGATTCTAATTTTTTTAAAAGGAAGAGGAGGAGATGGGCGTAGCCCTCCATTTCCATCCCCTTTAATTTGAAGTGGCTGCGATGGATCTATTAGTTTATTTATTTATTTTTTTAATAAATAATTAAATATAAATATATTATTTTAATTATTTATTTAATTAGTAAAATTAAAATGTTATTATATCATATTTTTTTAATTATTTAATAAAAAATATTATCTCCTCTTCTTTTTTACCTTTTTTCTATTTAAATAAGATTCACCTTAATCCTTTAGTCCCTCCCTTTCCATTACTAATTTTCAATCTCCATTTTCCCTCTCTTAATCCTAGCCCTCGATCATTCAATGAAAGAATAGATAATCGCAAGTTATTCTGAACTTATGGCTTTAATTAAAGATAGCCAATGATATGGTTATAATATCTGTAAGGTTGTTAGTAAACAGAATAGCTTGAGAATAATTCGAGTTAAGTTCAATCTTAATATCAAGCTCCATAAATAAATGAGAGTAAGCTTGATCTTATATCAATAATTGGTTAGGTCATTACATATAATATTAAAGTTACCTTGCATGATTTTTTGAACAATGGTGGAGCAAACCTCATCGAGGTGCATGTGACACTCACGAGAGGGATATTAGATATATAATTCAACATTGAAATCCAAAAGGCTAAAATAGCCAATATCACCAGTAGACCTGACTCATTACAAAAACAATTTGAAATTATAAAAAAAAAAAACCCAAAAAGCTTGAATTTAAGGCTCAAACTAAAGTACCCACTCACTAAGTGCTTGAACTCGCTCTAATACACATGAGCTTGAGTAAGGATACTATCACTAGTGGGTAAGGTCATTTCAAAAAAATTTAGTGTTATGGAAAGAAGGAAGCTTGAATTCAAGCTCATTGAGTGCTTGAACTTACTCTAATACACATGACCTTGAGCACAAATACTATTACTAGTGGGCTAGGTTGTTACAAAAAAAAATTGGAATAACAAAAGAGAGAGAGAAAAAAAAAAAAAAAAGCTTAAAATCAAGCTCAAGTACTTGCTCACTAGGTGCTCAAGCTCATTCAAATATGCATGAGCTTGAGCACAAGCTAACTATTTTGCGCTCAATAAATGCTTAAAGTAAATTTTAAAAGAGGCTTGAGCATGAGCATCTCAATACTATACTTATTAACAAAGATTGTAAGTTTACAATCATAACGTGTTATTAAATGAATGAATATATATAATATCAATTAATTTTTTATAATGATTATAAATTTATAATACCATGTAATATTATAATTATATCAGTTTATCATGTTAAGATCTAGACTACTACATATGATAACCATATCATCTACATACACTAAAATGTGTATTGAAGAAGACCTGCAATGTAAACAGAAAAGAGAATAATTGGCATATGTTTGTGTAAAACCAAAAGCAAGTAATGCATGAGAAAATTTAGCAATTGACGGGGTGCTAGCTTCAAACCAGAGTGATTTGACTTGTGAAGTTTGCATACGGGACCATGCTCCCCCTGTCGAGGATGTCCCCAGAGGAAAGAAGATTCATGTGTACTTCTTAATGCAAATCACCATGACGATGCATTTTGAATGTCTAAATGATGAAGAGGCCACTGTTTAGCGACTGCAATAGCTAAAAGAACCCCTACTGTCACTAACTTAGCGACCAACGCATACGTGTCTTGATGAAGAGGCCACTGTTTAACGACTGCAATAGCTAAAAGAACCGCCACTGTCACTAACTTAGCCACCAACGCATACGTGTCTTGATAATCCACTCCCTCAACTTGATTGAATCCCTAGGCAACAAGTCCAGTCTTCTATACTTCCATAAGCATTTCTTTTACTTATAAAAAACCCACTTCCAGCCAATTGGCATTTTATTTGGAGGCAATGTGACGAGACTAACGATTATGTTGAAAAAATAAAATAAAGCTTAGAGATTAAAAAGAACACCATTGAAACTTCAAGACGTATCATAAGATGCTGGTCCAATGTAACACTAGTGCTCAACATTTGTAGTGAATTTTCGATATGATACCTAATGGAATTGGAAACTATTACTACTTGAATGATTTGTGGGCAGTAGACTCAGTACATAAATTACACTCAAGGAAGCATTCCCACTAAAGTTTGGCCAAGGGAAATTGTCTTCATTGTTTTTCTGAGAAGGGATTCATGGATTCTTGTATTTCTTCTAGTGTTCGCCCCTTGGTCTCAGGTACTAACTTGGCTACAAATAGAACAGTAAGGCCACAAATACTCGAGAACATGAAGAATGTCCCTGGTTGAAAGGAAATATAATTAAAATGAAATGCATGATAATATAACTATA